AAAATTCGACCGGACGTTTTTCAAACCAATGTTTATCGGAACCGGAGTGCATCAGAGATGGGTATGTGGTAAGTGATTTTAGGAAAGTTTGTTTTCGGTGATTACCTAGCTGGTTTGTGTGAAAGTGAACTGAGATCAAACACTGGCTTTTGTTCCTCAACCGCGGTCGCGAAACGTATCTACTGAGTTCAGTTTGGTTATCCAAGTGTTTACGAGATTTGGTGGTCCAAGACAAATGAGGACAACACAATTAGGGAAAACCGAGAGAGTTACCAAAATCCAATGGCTTTCAAACGTGATCGAAATGAAATGATAACATGGGCTTGGAAGCTTTTGTAATATTTCTGTGAGTTAAGATAGTTTGGTTACCAATGTGGTTGAAAGAACTTGGAATCTGATGCATCCATTTCTTTACCAAATGTTTTCCCCAAAACCGTTCCACTGTTCCTTTTTATAACAATTACCGCGGTTGTGAACACAAGCACAGTGCTTAAAACGTTTCGCATGTGGTGCGTCAATCGATGGGCCATCATTGGATATCCAAGCGTTGCATGAAATTAAGGGGGTTCTTCGTAATCTTTCGAAATAGTCTCACGTGATCGTATAGTGCACTTGGTGTCTGTACTAAGTAGTTAAGGAGAAGATTTATCATGCGTCGAATCAGAGTCTCACGAAACACGGTTCCAAAATCCGAGTGCACGCCGAAATGACAAACACTTTAGAAAAAGATGTCCTAAATGCGATTTAGTGAAAATTGAGGAAGCTATGGTGATATAGGAAACGCGCTCATTTTCTACGCAATGTGGTCCCAACCTGTCGATTCAGTGGGAAATAGTACATTTGTTAAAATAATTTTCGAAAAACAACGCGGACGCGGAAAGCTACCTCAGGTTTGTCATACTTAATTCTTAAATCACAGGACTTACAAAGAGCAGCTGGTTACATGCGAAGCCGAAATAATAACGCAGGTTTTCCTTTTTCATTTTACTTCCATTTATTGAATATACAAAAATACGATTTTCAGGAAGGAGTGTAATGTGCACTTGCAGACAATAATGAGAATTGCTTGTTGACTGAGTACCGTTCAAAAACAGCTGACATACCAAATCAACTTGAAGCGTTATTATTGATATTTCAAACCGGGTGAGTAATGCTAAACAAGCAATCCTCTACATAGGACACGCAACTCTCAATATTAGGAAAGTTCTTTGAAATAACAGAAGGCCATGTCAACATGACAGTCTAGTCTGTTCACACAGTCTTTCTTGTGATACTTTGTCAACGGGAATTGGATAGTCACTGATGGCGAGAGTGGTGTGTTTGAATAGGTATCGAGAACTGCACAATCATGTTCGATGCAGTTATTCAATATAGAAAGTAAAAAATATAGACTGTATCAGGAGACGATACTTACAATCATCCATTTACGGTTGTCACTGTCATGATGACATAACAAACAACTCATGGTCATGCAAAGAGTATCTCTATGTCACCCATAGTGTTTGAATGAAACAAGACGCAATACGATGAATGGAATAAACTCGACACGTGGTCACGAGTCACCGTAAGGAAGGACGAGAGACTTGGTGCGTTAAAAACTAATCGTTCACTAGACAATAGGCGTCATTATGATAACCTCAAAACAACAGGTTGGCTTTTGCAAACTTGTTAACTACAGTTAACTATCTTACTCTGGGTGAGCAATTTCACTAAACAGCATCCGAAAGGTATTTACAGTCATCTTGACGTCGGGGGTATCATGCGCCGCAATTCACGTTTATATGAATGATCTGCTCCAGAAGTGTGTTGAAATGAGACGGCCAGCTGCAAGCAACAACCAAGTGTGTGGAAATACGGGCAACGGGGAATAACATGGGCGACCTACACCGACAAACAAACAGATACATAGACACAAAACGGAATGCGCCTGGGTGATTAAAACGCAGTCACACATACAGACAACCTGAGGTCGTTTGGCAGTGTCAGAGATCGGTAGAAACTGCCTATGCAAGTGCCTAAGATAAGTGCTTGTATCGGTGAGGTAAAACAACCAACAAACGTAAGACGACTATTAGAAACTTTCTACATTTTCCTTAGCAGCTACAAAATAATTGAAAAATACAACGAAAATGAGTTATTCCGGGGTTAGAAAACAGGGTGAAAGACACACGAAAATCATCGCAATACAACGCAAAACAACCAGACTAGATAGATCAAAATACGCCTACTCGGTCGGATGGACGTACGGACAAAATACGACCGGGTTGCCATAAGGCAGAATGACCTAAATATTGGCCACCTAGTGGCCAACACTGCTCTACTAACGCATCTGACCAGAACAAAAACCCTGAAGCGGACAGAGAGAAAAACCAACAATTTGGGAATGCCTCGAGAACTTATAAACTGGTGCGTTAGGTTTATGCAATCAAAAATTTGCCGGTGGCATAGATTGCTATCCTTCGAAAACCACACATCTTAAAAAAAATTATCGAGCAGACGCAAATGAATTGCGTTACGAGAAGCTATCGGTGCATCGTCTGTTTGTTTTTTTGTTCTAACCGCACATCACTGTATAATGCGTAGTGAAGTTGGAATCCTCCTAGTGGCGAGGATATCCCATTTATTTACATGATAACCGACGAACTAAGCTCTGTGATGTTGAAGTGACGAATTCGCAAAGGTAACCTCAGCCAAACTGCTGACCAAGTTTTCCAATAGCAATCTAACAGACAATTACCACAGTTCTCAAGCTCTTCCATTTTGAGCAACAAACCTCTTGGCTCTTTCAGGTTCCGCTGGTCTCGTAGGGCATGGATCTGACGGCCGCGATCAAAAGTTAATCTGGAATAAAATCAACCATCAACTAAAAAAACACTTAGAAACAGGCTACAAATTGAGTTTATAGTATAATCATGGAGTGTTGAAAATAATGGTGAAGAATGTGCAAACAAAGAGAAGAGCTACTACTGAAAGACAAAAAGTACAGTTTAGAAGCTTAGCTTTTCTAATTGTGATATGGGATTAGTAAAAAGAGGCAAGGAGGGATTCACGGGACTAAGCTCGATCCCGGGTCAAATTCTGTAGTGTCATCAATGAAAAATGTTCGGAATCTCGAGCGTTTCGACCTGAGAATCAGGACATCCAGGCACGTGATGGCCTTTCGATCATCTTTTTTACTCATCGATGTCGTGTCCCAGCTGTTACTTGGAGTTCGTCCGAAAACTTGAAGCACATACCCGAGTAATCGTTAACAACGGAACGAGTGAGAGTGACTGTATCCAGAACCCGTAATCATCAAGTATGTTGGCCCCGTCGAAAATGGGAAGAATGTTCCGCGGATTAACAATCTAGAATATGGACAGTCAGTAAACTTCCTCGACGTGCAGCGAGTGACAGCACTGTAGTTTTAGACTCTCAGTCCCTCACGGAGAAGCTGACGTCGTGTCGGTCCCATAGGTATTTCAAACTGTAAAATGCATATTTTCTCCTCACATACTCATTCATCTGCTCTAATATAGCCCATTTTATGTGGAATTGGGGTGTATAAGGTGACAAGAAGGGATAGCAACTTCGACGAAAAACTGATAATTCAGAAGGGGATTTTGGTTACCTTTGATTTTTGTCAGACACTCAGCTATAATTTCTGGTAGCTGCAAACAGAAAGCAGTGCCAACACCTCGAGGAACCGGTAGAAAGCGAAAACTCTCGCGCATCATTTGCTGTGACTCACAAGTCACACATGTCCGCACATAACGTACAGAAGGAAGTAAATGCATGTACAAAAAATTAAAAATGTCCTCTTAACCGAAAACCGGATAACATTGGCTACGTAACTTCGCAAACCACTCTCGAGTATTTTCATGAAAAGTCCAATCCATGGCATCCCACGAAAAGCCCGAATCCTATCAGTTTAGGTTTTACAACCATTAACCAAGCACTTCCATGCGTAGGCTCCTTGGACAACGGTCACCATCATTCGAGAGGAAAATTGAGATTGTATCACACACCGTTTACTTACCGCGACTACGAGCTCGGCCACAGTCCAACTGGCACCAAGGACAGACCAGGTTCCTCGATTCGGACCACTGTTGCAAATGACCCATGTACAGAAACCGATAAGCCACAGGGCGTGTGATTGGCAGTGCCATGCCTTGAGTCAACTCTGGACGAGTTTCGCTCGACCTCTGGTGGGATTCATTAGCAATGGTTTCCGTATGGGGACCACTTTGCGGCGGTACCTCGGTGCGTAGAGGGCTAAGCTCTGTCGACTGACGACGGACAGGGGATCGGAGGGAATTTCGTGCAGGTGTGTTGGAAGGATGAGCTAAAAACAGAGACGCAATGATAAAGAGAAAATTGGATTGAAGAGCGGATGAGGACACAAACGTAGATCAGATAGCAGCAAATGAAAAGCCGGATTTCTGAAACGTGAGTGGGATCCACCAGAAATAAACAATATGGCTTTAGAGGTAAATAATCTACACTTTCCCCTCCCTAACACACCACCTCTCTCGGGTTTTTCAGACGATCAGTACTGCCTTAGATGGAAACCCTGCCGCTGTTATCTAGTGTCCATGTCTCACCGAACCCTCC